CAACAACAAGGTCGAGCCCGATCTATTTCAGGGATGCCAAGATCGGTTTGAGGGCGACGTTGTAAGTCGGGATTTAGGAGCTCGGTTGTGAGTGACTTCAGTTCTAACGGCTCTCCACAGCAGATGAGGTCGGTTAGATCCGAGCTGAGGTATCTGTCAAGCCGGTATTAAAGAGGTCGGTCATATAGCGTCGTAGGCCCCCAAGTGTGAGGTCGGAGAAGTTCATCCCCGACGTGACCCTGAATTTGAAGTCGGTTCAGGTTGCCGCGATTTAGGAGATCCGAGTTTATGTGGGCCGTTGATTGAGGTCGGATCTCGGTTTGTTGTGAGGTCAGTCAGATCTCGAATCGGCCTATTTTAAGGTCGGCGAGTCGGGCTTGAATTTAAAGTCGGTTGTTACCGACGATTGAGGTTGGCCTTTTTGAAGTTCGAATTTAATTCAAAGAAGTCGGCCTGATTCACGATTTGAGGACCCGAGTCCATTGAAAAAGAAGCTGTCGATGTCGGCAATAGTGGGATCGAGCCCCGTTGACCGAAGTCGGGGAAATCGAAGTCAGTTCTGCAAGGGCGAGTTGAACAGTGGAGAGGTCGGTAATGAAGTTACCGAATTCCAGCGGCTTTTGAAGTTGGTGATGGAGATGGCCCGAGCTTGATGATGAAGACACTCGGCCTCGACTTAGCCCCATATTTGAAATCGGAGAGACTCCGTGTTGTTAAAGTTGGTGACTAATTGATCGGAGCTCGGTGGAGTAACAGAAAGTCAGCCGTGAGAGGTCCGAGTTTGGCCCGACTGTATTGTGAAGGTTTAAACCCGGCCCGATAATGATGGACGTGGCCTCGTTGGCAAAATTTAAAACTGTTGGAGACGATTCGGGGCGTCTCGAGGTGTTTCGGGGCATTTCGAGGTGATCCCGAGTTGCAACTTTGGCCGTCCGACAATGGTGAGGTCGTGTTGGAGATGATAAACTTAGTTTCGACAATCGAACTCGGTGTTTTGATAAAGATGAAGTAGGCCCTGCAATACTGGGCGGCAACGTCCACGTGTTCTATTGTAACAGCGACAACGTGTATTACCTTTAAATATTTTCTGTCGGTGAGGCCACCAGCCGTTTGCACGCAGTATCATCAACTTCTTCAATTGATGACTCTTATCTTCGTTGTTTTTTTTTTTTTTTTTTTTTTTTTTTTTTTTTTTTTTNAATGAAAAACCAGAGGGCTGAGAATTTGGGAAGGAAATACAAAGGAGTGACGTAGTTCAATTGAGACACAAGTGCGTGTACATATCAAAGGCGCACAAAAAATAATTCCCTTCTGCTTGCCTTGTCATATATAGTCGGCACATACTATGCAGGAAGAGAACCATGAAGACTAAATAATGAATGTAAACAGATTTGAGTAAAAGTATGAATATTCTTGCCAAACTTTAGAGAAGTCTTTTTCCGGCGAGGATGTGGCCATTTTCCGGTGAAGGTTAACCCGAGCAAATTACGGGTCCTTCCTCTAGCGCCAAACTGTTGATGCACGAAATTTGATCAACATGGGGGGTTCAGAGGAATTTATCGGATATTTTTTGATATATATTATTTGTGATTTTTCCGTGAATTTTTGGTGTGTTCTTGTGTATTTGAACCAACAAAATATTGAAGAAGATGAAGATAAAACTCTCGTCCCTGAAGCGGTGCAGGAGAGAAAAAAGTAGATCCAAAATAATACAGGCGCCCCCTCAGACCTCTCTCGATGATGTCCATCATCGGGGTATTTATATATATATGTTTAATGGGCTCGATATTATCACAAGCGCCATTATTTTTGGGCCCAAGATTAAAATAATTGATATAATACATATCCACGTGTAATATTTTAATAGGCAAGGCCAAAATTAGGTATCAATAAAAGTTATGACGTACCAAGCTATAAGAAAAAATAATATTAAAACATAAATAATGCTTTAAAGGATCATAAATTTCTAGTAGGCCTACTTATATTTTGAATGAAAATAAATTAAAAATTAGTCCAAGCCAAATAACAAAGCATGAAAAATTGTCAAAAAGGATCTCGAAGCATACGAGTATGCCATTTAGGCTCAACACATTCAAAAATTATATAAAGGATCCCTGTTGTAGCCCCTAAATACACCTCCTTAGGGTCCTTTTTGTAGCCTATAAATACACCAAATCTTAAGACTCCAAGACACCATAACATCATTCACACGTGAGTTTTGTGAGATTTGTGAGGCTCAAGAGTTCCATTTAGAGCACCACCAAGACTACTTGGAAAAGGTGTAGAGGTCATACAACAGAAGCTCGTAAGGTCTTGTTATCGCATCTTGGCAAATATATTCTTCCTCGGGACTTATTCGATCTTCATGATTTTCAGAGAGGACGACCACCAGTAACAACCAAACCCACCAGACCGATCGTCGCCGCCGCTGGACCACTGCCGACCGCCGCAACCCCGTCGCGCGCTTCGCTGTTTCTCACGCGATGCACGCCAGCGCAGCGCCAGTCGCAGCGAGCACGGACCAGTCACTTTTGACACTCAGTCACATTTCCGCCGCGACTAGCGCCTCAGCACAAACGCACCGCGATCTGTCGCGCCCGCAACCTCCGCGCAACATAGCAGCCGAGCCTGATGTTGCAGCTTTCAATCGCACCCACGACGCGACCAACCGAGCTCCCGCAAAACGCACACACATGTGACGTGACCCAGTGACTCGACGATCCCAACAAAGAGACCCAAAGACTTGATGAAGAGCAGCGATGGACGAGGGCTCAAGGACGTGTCTCAGAACTCTCGTCCAGCCCCGTAGGATGTGTAAGTCGTCTCAGAGTCGGTATATTTCAAAACCATAATTCTTGATCCTAACTATAAATTCTGCAACGTTAGATCGATTTGGATGTGCATATCGACAACATTTCTCATAGAACCAAATAACTGGTATCAGAGCTCACGCTTAATTCATCTTTGTGCACCATTCAAGTTAGTATTTGCGTGACATATGTGAATTAATTGTGTAGGGGCGCAACGCATAGTAGATTAGAATTGCAAATAATTGATTTTTTTGCAGGTATTCTTGAATCTGACTATTGTAGGCCATATGTATGTGTTTTAATTCACAAATGTTTTATTTGCCTCAACCATGTTAGAGATTTTTGGTTGGTGAATATTTGTAATAATTTACTCGAATGCTGGGACACCACATAGTTTAAATGCTTTACTACATCATTCATGTATGATCACTGTGTAGATCATAGGATTGAATTATGTAATTGTTATTATATTTTGTGATTGACCCAGTAGACGCAGACGAGCCTGAACGATCAAGATGACGACCGACACACCTTGAACCCGCGATCGTCAGTGCGTGTGGTGCCGTGCGCATGCAGGCGCGCTCGCTGCCATGGCGAGCGCAACGCGCATGTACACGGCCAGGGTGACGGCGGACCGATGAGGAGCTGTAGGCGCGATCAGCAATGGGCTGGTGCATAGGTGATGGACATACGATTCATTTGTAGCAGCCCATGCACATTACCTGCTGTCGCGGCCTGGTGGCTGGGCACTTGCGGGGCTCCGGCGACGACTACACTAGGCCTTAGTCGGGCGTGTCTTGCTTCACGCGGACGATGACAAGTCACAACTACAACACTGGATCTCTAGGCAACGATCACGACCGCGACAACTTATCAGCTAATTTTACCAAACCCTTTTATCATGTAAGCTAGCTTTTCAGCTATAAGTCATAAACTATAAGTTATAAGCTAAAAAATTACATATAAGCTATAAGGTAGCTTATCAGCTAGTTTTACCAAACATAGCCTACGTCTTTTCATATTCACTCTTCATCTTTTTCTCAAAATATCATCTCTATCCTCATTAATGAGGGTTATTATTGGCAAAAAAAATAAATAAATTACTGTGCAACTTCTAAAAAGGACACTTATTAAAAATAAGAAGGAGTACTATTTTGTTGACCTTTTTATTCTCATAAAAAATCTTATTTGTTTGGTTTGATTCTGTCACACATATTATCTAAAGAACTGCGAATATAAAAATATTTAAAAGCTACTAATTTCATATTAATTTATTCCCCAAAAAGAATCTCACACTCTATCTATATATCACATCCCCTTTTAATATAATTTGAAAACGTGCTGAGCCTAAATGGCTGCCTCGTACGCTTCGGAAGCTTACTTGGCAACATTACATGCTTCGGTTTTTGGTTCGGATACATTCCCTAATTGTTTAAAATAAAATACTTAATAAATATCATTTTTGCTTAATCAGATCCCCTCCAACTCCAAAATAATCGTGCTGAGCCTAAATGGCTGTCTCGTACGCTTCAGAAGCTTACTTGGCAACATTACATGCTTCGGTTTTTGGTTCGGATACATTTCGTAATTGTTTAAAATAAAATACTTAATAAATATCATTTTTGCTTAATCAGATCCCCTCCAACTCCAAAATAATTAGGATTCTTATCTTATATGCCGTGTAAATAAGATTTTTTTCTTAATATTATAATTAAAAATTTAGACGTAATTCACGAAATATCAAAATAAAAAATAAATATGATTTTTTTTGCTTAATTTTATAATAAAAAATTTAGACTTAATTCACGAAAATACTAAAATAAAAAATTTATCTTATATATTATTTTATTTATATAAATTATTTAATTTTTTTAGAATATCTATATAAATACACTAATATATTTTAATGAGTTGAAATAGTTATACATTTGAAAAAAAAAGAGTTGAAATAGTTATACAACAACATGTATTTTTTCTATTATTTTATGTTTATTTTATTTTTCAAACAACCCGTGTAGTACACGGGTATCGTACCAGTGACTTATTATTTCCATAAAAAGTCTATTTGTTTGGTTTCATTCTGTCAACACATTACCTAGGGAACTGCGAATATAAAATTTCATATTTATTTATTCCCAGAAAAGAATCTCACTCTCTCTCTCTATGTATATCACATGACTTATTATTCTCATAAAAAATCTTATTTGTTTGATTTTATCAGTCACACATTACCTAGGAACTGCGAATATAAAAATAATTAAAAGCTACTGATTTCATATTTATTTATTCCTCAAAAAGAATCTCTCTCTCTATAAATCACTATAAATCACACACACAAAATGCGTGTGTATCGTATGGAAGTTTCATAGATGCATACGTACATCACTTGTCAGTCGACATCCATCCCCCATAGCCTCTCCCGCTACTTCTCTGAATACAGACTGACACATACACCCACACAGTAGAGCGTATTCCGATACCGACATGGGCAGCGCCGATGGACCTTGTGGATCCGTGGAGGAGTTCCTCAGCCGGTGTCAGCCGTCCGGCGACGCGGCCTACACTGCCCTCCGATCACTCCTCGAACGCCTTGAGGACCCGAGTACCCGGGCCGGTGCCCGGATCTTCCTGTCGGAGCTCCACAAGCGATTCGGCTCCAAGGAAGCCTCGGAGAGCTGTCTCCGGACCTACCATTTCCAAATTCAGGACATCTATCTCCAACCACACGAAGAAGGTAACATAGCTATCTAGATAATGGAAACACATTTTCGTAATTGTATTTGTCTGTGAGCGGATGATTCGGGTTGTGATTTGAAGAAGAGTTCCGTTTGCCGGCAATTTAAGGAAAATTCAGGCTGTGAATATTGAATTACGGGGAAGAGTGAAATGTGTTGATAAAGTGGTTTGTTTTTGGATTTTCGCGATGATGATTGGGTGAAGTGTGGTCCAGAAAATATTTATGCATACTTCCAAAAATGAGTGAGAGCAGATTATGACCCCACACCTATGTACCTTATTTTTTTTTATCAGTTTGTGTTGTTATTTTCGGATTACAGGAAATCAGTGGCTAAATGATGTTTGTTTGGGACAAAAGTGTAATTCTATGTGGCCTCCAGTGTGCTTAACTTCAAATTCTGTTCAAGATTCATTTGATGGCTATAATGGATTAACTTCTTAAATTTTTTTGACATCTGCCAATGCTAGCATATCGAGTCAAAGTAATATACTGTATTTCCATTGGAAAGTTTGGTTGGAAGTAACTTCAGCTTGGGCTCCAACAGCTGGGGATTTATATTGTTCATTTTAAGAGTTCTCTTTGAATGAGCTTGACTAGAGGTCTTGCTGCAGTTTTCAAGCTCTTCAGGGTTGTGTGGCTTATTAAGAGCAAGTCTTTTTCAGTTCTCCGTATCTACCTCTCCTACTAATACCGTTGTTTTAAACTATAAACAAAATCAAGCAACTTGAAGTATCATTTTTTTTCCGAGACGTGTACCTTATATATGCTTTTTTTTCCATTGTTGTCAAGTTCAAATTGCTGAGTCAAAAACCATTCCATCTACTCGGTTGTCCACATGAGTTTTTCCTCTATTGTTTCTTTAAGCAGTAGAGCAACTAATTTCGCTAGTTAGGGCAGTGACTTGAGATGAATTTATGCTTACTCTTTTAATACTTTTAGGTCCATTCTCATTTTCTCCTGTTACAGATTTCCAGAAGAGGAAGAAACTTACGATGATGGTAATACCCAGTATCTTTATGCCAGAGGACTGGTCTTTCACCTTTTATGAAGGACTTAACAGACATCCGGATTCAATTTTCAAAGACAAGTCTGTAGCCGAACTTGGTTGCGGCAATGGATGGATATCCATTGCGATTGCAGAGAAGTGGTCCCCCTCAAAGGTATATGATTCCTTGATCTTGCATTTGGTTGCTCCATTAATGACTTTGCCTTTTGTTGCTTATATCTTCATTCATATCCTGACACCCTGTGTTATTTTAAACTAATGACTTATAGAGATCAAAAGACATGTGGAAAAAGGTTTATTAATGCATTCAAACACTATTTTGCAGGTATATGGTCTCGACATAAATCCAAGGGCAATAAAGATTTCTTGGATAAATCTATATTTGAATGCTTTGGATGAAAATGGCCGACCAATTTATGATGGAGAGAAGAAAACTTTACTTGATAGAGTTGAGTTTCATGAATCTGATTTGCTGTCTTACTGCAGAGACAACCAGATTGAACTTGAGCGAATTGTTGGATGCATACCACAGGTAATTTGTCAATTTAATGAAATGTCAGTGTAAGTTCTAATATCAAGTGAATGTACTTCTCATGGTTGCGTAAGTCGCTTGAGATATGACATACATGCTTATTCTGGAGTTACATAAATATTTTATGCAAGCCTCGGTAACATTTTGATTATATTTTCTGTGCAGATTCTTAATCCTAATCCAGATGCAATGTCTAAAATCATTACAGAAAATGCCAGCGAAGAATTCTTACATTCTCTAAGCAATTATTGTGCCCTCCAGGTTGGAGGCTTGTTTCGCATTTATTATATGTTTTTTGTTGAAGTATACAAAAATTACACTTTGTATGATATTATGTTTTTTGTTGGATATATGTCTATGACATTGTGAAGCAGCTCTGAGATTTGCTGCATGGAGCTATATATGGACTTTGACATAATTTCATTCCTTCTCCTTTAGTATTTGAATATAGTTATACCGACCGATAATAGAACACTTTCCTTTTGACATTATTTTTTCAAACTATATGTACGCAAAAATACTATGCGGTGGAACTTTTAATATAAAATCTTCATGCTCTTTCTTTCTAAAAAAAAAATGAGAAAACTGTCTTCTATGGAAAAAGATTTTTGTTCTACATGATGAACATATTTTTGTAGTTTCTAGTAAACAAACTGCCATAAGATGATCTCATTTCCATGCCTCCAGGCCAAAAAGGTAACTCTGTATAGCGTACTTGTATTATCCAGAGTGTACTCAATACTCATTGATGCTTCATGCTGGAACTTTATGTTTGTAATCAATGGGCATTTACTCTTATCCTTGCCTATTGCAATGGCTACACAATGAACAATCTGTTTACTCAAATGCTGAAAGTATATATCACTTTGTATGCCTTTTTATGCACAAGTCTGAATAGAAGCTTAGAGTAGTTGTTTTACTATTTCATTAAGTATATTATAATCTTTAGGGCTTTGTCGAAGACCAGTTTGGTTTGGGACTGATTGCAAGGGCTGTTGAAGAAGGTATATCTGTAATAAAACCTCATGGGATCATGATTTTTAATATGGGAGGCCGTCCAGGACAAGCCGTATGCGAGCGTTTATTTGAGCGCCGTGGTCTGCGTTTTAATAGGCTTTGGCGGACTAAAATTCTTCAGGTTTTACTCTAATTTGCTGGGTTTGATGATACATATGAAAGTACATATATGTAAATATCTCTTGTTGCAGGCTGCTGACACAGATATCTCAGCACTAGTTGAGATTGAAAAGAATAGTCGACATCGTTTTGAATTCTTCATGGGGCTTGTTGGAGACCAACCAATTTGTGCCCGAACAGCGTGGGCGTATGCCAAAGCCGGCGGGCGTATATCTCATGCTTTATCAGTATACAGCTGTCAACTTCGTCAACCTTGTCAGGTGAGATGTTTCTCCATGCGCTTTTGTGAGTGCAAATACAAAATCATCATGTAGTTCTCTCGAGGCGTTGTACTGATCCTTCTCCTGTAACAGGTGAAGAAGATTTTTGAGTTTCTCAAAAATGGATTTGATGATATCAGCAGCTCGTTGGACTTGTCTTTCGAAGATGACTCAGTTGCCGATGAGAAAATTCCATTCCTAGCTTATCTTGCCAACGTTCTAAAAGAAATTTCATTTTTCCCATATGAACCACCTGCTGGAAGCAGAAAGTTCCGTAGTCTCATCTCTGGCTTTATGAAAATATACCATCACGTTCCACTTACTGCAGATGTAAGGAAGTTTATATTTCAGTATATCACGATATTCTTCTTTGTTGTGATTAAGATTTCTTAACATTTTTTGTGTTTGCTTCTTTCTATATATTTCACACTTATGACACGCTATTCTATTGTGTGGTTGCATCTTAATTCCTTCCATGTTCCATCTGAATAGTCTACTGAAATTTTAGGATGCCTTACAACGTAAAATCATTGGCACTGTCTAATTTATTCTGTGCTGTTTCTGTTGATCAAGAATGTTGTTGTGTTTCCTTCAAGGAGTGTGGCTATTGAAAGCACTTTACGCGTGTTGTCCCCACGCCTCGCCATTGTAGATGAACAACTGTCTCGACATTTACCAAGGCAATGGTTGACATCCCTAAATATTGAGGTATGGTGATTATGAAAGTTTCCTTGTACTATTTTTTTTTTTNAAACTCGTTTTTTTTTTTTTTTTTTTTTTTTTTAAATCTCTGTGTGCTGCAAATTGTTAAAATTCGGATGAAAAATATGTTTGTCTTCCTATCCTTTACGTTCAAGCGGACTAATGCTCGTGATAATTTGTAATAACATCGTAATAAAATCCGGTTATGTGCTTTTATTAAAGAAATGATAATATCAACAATAAAACAGAGTCAGCAGACAGGATGAAAGTAAAGCTTTGCTCATGGAACGTAGAAGGAATTTAATGAAAAGTTACTAGTTTCAAATATTGTTGGTTATGCCTTTCCCATTTCTTAGACTTTTCCCGTCGTCCGAGGTGACCAATATGATGGTTTAAACTTCCATTACAAACTTAGATAAAAGGAAGAGAATGTCTGAGAAAAAAAGATTTTATTAAAGAAGCTAAAGGAACGATGAACACAAGCTATGTTATTTCTAACTATACAATGTCTCTTATAGAGATTTGTCCAACGGTAAAAAGATTACAAAGAAGGAATAAAATCATTTTAGAAAGAAAATGATATAATCAAGGGTAGGATCTACTTGTTGCCTTTTATGTTGAATTTTCAATTCTTCCAGAACTTTATTTTAAGTAACAGAGGTCTCATCACAGGCTGATTTATTGGCCTTAATACCCTCCCTCAAACTATGTTGGGGTCGTAGACGTAGACATAGTTTGGTCCGAAAGAAACCAAGCACGCTTTTGGGCAATGACTTTGTAAAAATATCAGCGACTTGGAGTTGCGTTAGAATATGTTTGGTGATGAGCTGCTCTTGGAGCGCGCTAATGTTGTCACAATGGAGGACTGGTGTCGAAGTTAATGGGACGTGTAGATCTTGTAAGACAAATGTCATCCAAGTAAGCTCAGCGGCAGTATGAGCCATGGCACGATATTCAACTTTTGTACTTGAATGGGAGACTGTATGTTGTTTTTCTGCACACCAAGAAATAGGATTGCTACTAAGGAACGTGCAAAAGCTGTTAGTCAATTTGAGTGTAGAATTAATTTCTATACCAATTTCAACCATATTAGCTATCTTCCAACCAAAATCAAAATTTTCCATACCATCACACCAAATTACATTTTTTTCAACCAAGTTTCCTAATTTTCTTATTTTCCAACACCAAATTTGAGCCATCATCTTGCTACATATATGTGTGTGTTGCAAGAAGAAAAAACACACAAGAGAAGAGAAAAATACACCAAAGACGAGAAGGAAAAGAAGAGAGGTGAAGGGAAAAGAAGAAAGAAAGGAAAGAGAGAGAGAAAAAAAAATAGTGAGAAAAAGTAGAGAAAAAATTATCATATAGATAATTTTATTTCTATATTTAAAGTGCTCAATTCTCGACTTCGATCTAGTTCGCCGGAGCTCGTAAATCTGGTGTGCTACAGATTTAGAGACGTTTGCCGTTGTATCTTTGGGGAAGTTACGCCTGAACCGTTAGCAGCCACACGGGGCGTATTCTTCTTGCGGAAAGAGTTTTACTCGCCTCGGCTAAAATCTTTCTATTTTTTCAAGTTATAATTTATTTTTCAGATCTATTGTAATTTTCTATTTTTAGATTATTTGTAAGAACTGAAAATTACATATCAGTTCGTAGGATTCCTGTGTAATTTTATACCCGATTTCTAACAAAAGCCTGTAGTAGAGCGTCGAGTAACCTGACAACTAGCCAATCTGCATCGGCGTAAGCACTAAGATCAAGCGTTGTGTGGGAAATAAGATGTAGGCCAAGATGAATGGGTACCTTTCACATAACGCAGGATACGACGAAACAATTTTAGATGAGATGTGCAAGGTTGATGCATAAATTGAGATGCATAGTTAACACTAAATGTAAGGTCAGGTCGTGTAAGTGTTAAATATTGAAGAGCTCCAACAAGACCTCTATATATGCTCGGATCATCAAGAGGGGAACTATTCTCACGAAGTTTATTTTTTATTTCTAAAGCAGTGGACATTGGTTTGCAATCTGTCATGCTGGCTCTTTCTAAAATGGAGAGTGCATAGTGTGATTGAGAAAGATGCAAACCTTGAGTAGTTTTTGAAACTTCAATTCCTAGGAAATGATGAAGTTCACCAAGGTCTTTCATAGCAAATTCATGACTAAGTAATTTAATAAAAGAATTAACTAAGGAGGTATTGGATCCAGTAAGAAGAATGTCATCCACATATAATAATAACACAAGTGTGCCATGATAAGAATGTAAAATAAAAACAGAAGGATCAGCTTGCTGCAAATAAAACCATACCTTATTAAAAAAATGTTGAAATGATCAAACCAAGCACGAGGTGCTTGTTTGAGGCCATATAGTGCTTTGTGAAGTTTACAAACATAATGTGGATATTTAGAGTCTTTCATACCTGGAGGTTGCTGCATATAAATAGCTTCAGAGATATGTCCATGGAGAAAGGCATTTTTGACATCCAGTTGGCGGATTTGTTTGCCATTGCTTAGAGAGTGCAACAGTTATCACCAAACGAATTGTATCAGGTTTGATAACAGGTGAGTAAGTTTCATTATAATCAATTCCATCTTGTTGATGATAACCTTTAGCTACTAGACGAGCTTTAAGTCGATCTAAAGAACCATCCGGTTTTAATTTTGTTTTAAATACCCATTTTGATCCAATAATATTCATATGGGGGGATGGTGGAACTAAAGTCCATGTGGAATTTTGATTAAGTGCATCAAGTTCCTCTTTCATAGCATCATACCATCCAGGATGTTTAAGAGCAGCACGTATATTGGTCAGTTCTCGAGGGACAGTACTTGAGAGAGTCATGGTTAGTGCGTACTTTGGGTTAGCCTTCAGGGTACCTACTTTGGACCGGGTGAGCATAGAATGTTCAGTGTGACGAGGTTGAGGGGCAGTTTCAATTGACGAGGAAAGAACTGGAGGAGGTTCGTCGGAAGATGGCAGCGGGGCAGTTGATGGTAAACTTGAATCTATAGCTCGTGGGCGGCGGTGGTAAACTCAAATTTGTGGCTCATTAGACAAATAAGTATGCAGGGTAGGATTATCATTTTGGCTGTAGGCAAAGCGAGTGTAGTGCCAGGTTGTGCAGTGTTTGTAGGGGTGGATGAGTTATCATGGTTGGGGTGATCTACATCTGGAGTAGGATTTGGAGGTAGCGAAAGAGGTATGTCAATAAAGTTAGAGGCATTCGTGACACTATCGGAGGGTGAGTCTGACACAAGAAAATTGTTAGTTGTAGACAACCAAGAATAAAAAATACTATTCACACGATCAGTGTTAATTTTGAAAGACATACGCTCTTTATAAGGAAAACATAATTCGTCAAAGACCACATGCCGTGAGATTTTTTTTTTTTTTTTTTCTTGGTGATGAAAACATTTATAGCCTTTAAATTGATCACTATAACCTATAAAAACACAAGGTATGCTTTCAGGATGAAACTTATTTTTCCGAGTATCCCAAGTATACGGAAAGCATTTTGATCCAAAAACACGTAAAGAGCTACATGTGGGGTGAGTGCCGTGTAATATGAGGTAAGGAGAATTAAAATTAAGCGCGGAAGAGGGTAACCTATTAATTAATGAGGTACACAACCATTGAGAATGCGTCTACCCAAGAGATAGAGGAGCACCACTATGAAATAACATGGTCATACCTAATTCCCGAATCATGCGATGCCTCCTTTCAACCATACTTGTTTGCTCACGTGTATATGGACACTATTTATGATGAATAATACCATAAGACAAAAAATGCGTAGACAATCGTTTATTTACAAACTCACCTCCCCCATCAAAATGAAGTATTTTGATTTTTTTGTTACATTGCCGATCAACATACCGTTCAAAATTGATAAAGGCATCAAATAAATCCGACTTCAATCGTAAAGGAACAATCCATATGTATTTGGAAAAATCATCAACAAAACATGCATAATAACGAAAGGAACCAAGTGATAAAACTAGAGCCGGACCATAAGTCGCAATGATTTTTTTAAAAAATATCAGTACTTGAATGCTCATAACTGCTAAAGGGGAATTTACTAAGTTTTCCTAGTTGACAACTATCACAAACGTGCTCATTTTTTGTTGGCCTGTGACATGAATAAGGTTATTATTCTTGAGATGTAGTGAAGTAGAGTGTTGTGGATGTCCTATACGTTGATGCCAAATATTAGACGAGCCAGACTTGAAACGGTGAGAGAAATTTAACTCAGGTTGATTGGAAAGGACATAAAGATTTTCCTTACGCCGTCCTTTTATCAACGGTTGGCCTTCCTTAACATAAAAATCTTTATCAATAAATTCAACAATTGACAGGATATTCAGAAGTGAGATGACCGCGCGTCGCGACACGACAAATTTAAATTTATAATTTTTCCTTAACAAACCTCTACTAACTAGAGTAGTGGCGAGTAAGGGTCGATCCCACGAGGAGTAGGAATTAAATTGTGACAATTCTCGTATTAATCGAATTATAACTATGAAAGCAATAAAAAGGGGGGATTGGCTTGATAAAAATAAAAATAACAAAATAAAATAAAAATTAAATAAAATAAGATAAATCCAGTTTTCGGTTCAATTATCACCCAATCTAAATCTACCGTTAATCAATTTCAATGCCTTCTTTAAATTACTAATGAATTATTAATCCTAGCTAATAATAGGCATTGTTAACCGAATTTTCCCTTACCGAATAGTTAATCGAAATAAGCTCTTCGACTAAACCTAACTAGCGGACAATCTAGAATAAGCTCTCTAGATTTAATACACTAGCAGCATTAATTAGTAGAAAATATATTGATCTAAGCAACGGACGCAAAAGCTCGGACCGTTTAACTTATGTTCACGCTACCTACCCTAGAGATGCACGACCCCTAGTTTACTACTAACGAAACAAGATAATACCATTACGGATTAAAGTCTCGAATCTTGCAATTAAATCATGGATATTCAACCTAGTTGGCCAAACCAAATCAAA